GGTCTAGTTCTATTATGATAACATGGTTTGGATAATTGATTATGTGATATCAAGCCAACATCGTTTCTGTTTCTTACTTTGTTGTTTTCCAACAGGCAAATGTTTATCATGCAACTAAATCTGATGGTCAGGAACTTGCAATTAAAATATACAAAACATCTGTTCTGGTATTTAAGTAAGTACAGTACATATTATCTTCTTTGACCTTCTTCTGTTACTGTAAATTGTTTCGCAGGCTGAAATGTTAGGAAGGAACTATATAGGCAACCTTACCTTTTTTTTTTTCTCTCTTTTTGAAGAAAAAACTAGGATTTGTATTCAAGCATACTTGTTGTATTGTTGTTGTCTATTCTCTCTGTTTATCTGTATAATATAGTGTTGAATAATTATGAAAAACTCTGGGCTAGGGATTACTGATACTTTCTGGATAGATGTTCGTCTGATATATTCCTTACATACACACAGCACTAATTCAGTTTGGAATATATTTCTACTACATTGACTGGAAATAGTTTCTAGATTCAAAGTTGTTGCATTTTATGAACTGAATTCTATGATCTTGTGATATCAGGGATAGAGATAGATATGTGCAAGGAGACTTCCGGTTTAGAAATGGATATTGCAAGCATAATCCCAGGAAAATGGTAAAAACATGGGCAGAGAAAGAAATGAGGAATCTTATGAGGTTCGCATTTGTTCTTACTTCTCTCTCTTTTATACTAAAATGCTTATAAAATGTAAGTACTCCCACCGCCTCAAGTATAAGCAAATCTCAACTAATGTTACTTTATTTAATAAATCTATCTCTAAAATGTCTTTATTTAATTGAGATTTTGCTTCCAATAACTCTTTTATTCTTAACATAAAGATCTAAGGAAGCCTAATTTAGGTACAATGTTTATTTTTTTTAATAAGATTACTATAATTAAATGCTACTAACTAACATATTTAATAAGCATGAATTAGCTTTTTTTGCTTATATCCAAGATCAAAGAGAGTACAATGTACTAAATTAGACTGTTAAAAAAACACGAGAAGGAAGACTAATTGAAAAAGAATAAGAATGTGTCATTGGGGTTATTGTTACTTAACCCCCTTATTTGTAGGTTATGATTTGAAGCACTATGGATCTAAGATGTATTCTATGATTACTTTTCATGAAGCAGGAACTTGTGTAGTCATCCTCTTAGGTGCAAAATCTTTTATGAACTAAGTATTTGTCTTAAAGGAATTGAGTTTTAATTTGTGCTTAAGGGCCACTGTTTTGTACATCAATTCTTGTTTCTGTGCTACCTTCTCTGTGGTAGTGGCTCCTTTTTGTATGCTTGCTGTGCTTGTGGCTTTGTTCGTTTGGTTGTTTCCAATTAAGAGAAACAAAAGTTTGATTACATGCTTACAAAGGTTTGGATAATTTATTTGTTTCTTATTCTGTCTATATTGGATTGTAGGCTTAAGGCAGCAGGAATTAGGTGTCCTACACCATATCTTCTGAGACTACATGTTCTAGTTATGGAATTTATAGGTATTACTTTTGTTCTGAATTTTGAGAACATAATCTGATGTTACTGTGATCAATGTCATTAGCTTCTATGTGATCAATTTCTCTCAATTATCTATTATTCTATCATTGACTATATGGAATATCAGTGTATAAATATCCACTGTTGATAAAAAAAATTAAAAGAAACGAAGGAATGAAAAATGTGAATAGTAGTTGGTAACTACTCATTGTTAGAACAGCACTATCAAATTTATTATCATTGTTCACAGAAATTTCAATTTCTTGCTGCTGCATATATCATATGATTCTGGTAATGCAGACTAAAGTTTAAGTTAGAAAAAATAAATGCAAATACAATTTTATTGAAGTTCTCTGGGTTTTGTTGTTTCTTGAAGGAAAATCTGGTTGGGCTGCCCCTCGTCTAAAGGATGCAGCTTTATCTTTAGACAAGTTACGGGAAGGCTATGTTGAGGTGTGTCAAATCACTACAATATTTTTCTGATGCTAGCATGATTTAGTACTTACAACCCTATCGCGAGTGTCTTAAATATTATGATGTTGGGATGGTATAATATAAAGTTTCTACTTATATTACTTGTCTAGAAGAGAAATGCCCACGACACACTTTTTAAAAAACTCTTTTGAGTGCGTTCTATTATGGGTTGAGAATAACTAGAAATCACAATTTTGTCTGTTACACTTATTTAATGATTATCATTCATGATTTTCTAATTTCTATCTAATAAATTTGATCCAATAATATAGTGTAAAGGGGTGTGTTGGTAGCACTCTTGTCCAGTATGATTCTTTAAACGCTGACTAATATGGGGTTAAGGTATGAGAATTTTATATTGTCTCTGGAGTGGAGTTTTATTTAGGAATTCCTAACAGAAACACTTCTGCCACACATTTCTTCTAGGTTCATTCTTTACAGAAACACTTCTCTTTTAGGTTTCTATGGGTGTGAAGGTTTATTCCATAAATCAAATACTTTGGGTTGAAATCATTTGAGTATTTTTTGTTTCAGGTTATTATTGCAATGCGGACATTGTATCAGAAATGCAAATTGGTGCATGGAGACCTGAGTGAATATAATATCCTTTATTATGAGGTGAACAACCCCTTTTCCAGTTTATATCGCATTGATTGAATATCTATCTGCCAATATTGAATTCACATGCTATGTTTTCTGTAAGGGTCACTTGTATATTATTGATGTTTCTCAAGCTGTTGATCCTGAACATCCTCATGCCCTAGATTTTCTGCGTGAAGATTGTGTTCATGTATCTGTAAGTACTTTCAACCATTAGAGGTTAATTATAGATTCCTTGTCCACTTCCTTAATTGACAAGGGGGTAATGTGGAAAGAGTGTGATTAAGTAAGCTCTTGGCCTACAGGATTTCTTCAAAAAACGTGGTGTAGCAGTCATGACGATAAGAGAATTGTTTGATTTTATTGTTGATGCATCTATTGCTGATGATGCCGTGGATAGTTACTTGGAAGAGGTATTTGGTTGTTTTATTATTTTTTATAATTACTGAACAACTTCAAAGCGATCTTAATGGTTTCTGAAATATTTGTAGATGCAACAAAAAATTTTGGCAAGAGGAAGTGTATCTATAGAGGATGAGATTGCAGACTCCGTATTTGTACAGGTATCTTGCCTTGTTATGTCAACTTCATTTTTTTTAATTATTATCGTTAAATGACTTGTTGGCTAAGTATGGTAAAAAAACTAAGAAACTCTGGTTTTGGGTGGATATTATACTCATTATGTTTGGTTGCCAAATAATGGAGAAAGAGAAGTGTAGGTTAAATCTTCTGTTTTAAAAAACATCAGTGTAGAGGGGAAAAACGAGGGATCTTCACAATTTTATTTTAGCTCTAACAACAATTGTTTGAGTTTCCTCAGTTCGAGGGATATTTGGGGAGAATGTAACTTACTTAGTATATAATGGAATTATAAAATTCATTCTTTATTTTTTTTAAACCTCCATTTATTTCTTGTTTCTTCCCAGAGTGAGGATGTGTGAGCTTGAATTTTTTTGGTTTTGCATGTTTCGAAGAACTGAAATGAGTTTCTGATTTGGTCTTTAAACGTACGGCCTCTGGTACAAACACATTCATCTTTTCTGTCCTTTCTTACATGTTTAATTTCTTGAACTCTTGTTACAGTCTTTCATTCCAAAGACACTAGAGGATGTCAAAAATGCTGAGGAGGATGTACAACGGATAACAAGTGGGAAGGACACCAAGGATTTATACTACCAGACCATTACTGGACTTAAGCATGCTCTGACATTAAACCAGTCTTTACAGCAAAAAGCCCAACAGCAGCAATCAAATGCCACAAAAGATTCACCGATCATTTCTGAGGATAAATCTAACGTCTTAGGGGATGATGCTGAGGGTCAATCTGATGATGAAGACGATGAAAGTGATTCTGAAGAGGGTTCATCCTCAGAAAGTGAAGCAGAGGGTCCAGCAGATAAAAAAGCTGCTAGAAAAGAGGCTAGGAAGGAGAATAAGAAGAAGGTGAAGGAGGAGAAAAGAGAAGCACGGAAAACTAAAGTCCCTAAAGCTGTTAAGAAAAGAAAGAAAAAGTTGGCTAAAGCACGCAAGACCAGATAGATAGTAGTTATATCTGTGACTGACTATCGAGTTTCCCTAGTATGTTTGATCTTAGATACACAACCTCATACACCAGATGTTAAAAAAAATTAGAGCAATTTTGTCCACTCCTACTATCATCTTTAAGGAGAGTTAGAAAGCACATGGCAACAGCGTCACCGGCCTATTGTTTTCTTTTTGTTCCACTCAGTTTTGTAAAATATGTCTGCATTACCTGCTTTTTTCTACACCTGATATTTCTATTAAGTTGAGTGGAAGCGTTTAATGGAAATAACTTTAAAATATATAAACTTCTTTCTTATGAGATCTTATTTTTCTCTTTTCGTTTCCTGGTGTAATTTATCATTTGAAAATCTTAATGATAAGCCAATGCACGTGTTATATGAACAATTAATTAGCATCCAATGTTATTAAAAAACTCTCTAGCACTCCGGAGCTAGTTAAATAGCTGCAGTAAGATACAACTTTAAAATTATTTGTAGTTTAGGTTTACATAGAAATCTTCCAGTGATTTCTACTGCTGATAACTAACAATTTATTAGTTTCTTGGAGTCCATTCTACCTCTTATCTTTTCACCACCTTTGAGATATTCTAACCAATATATATTGATGATTTCCAACTGTAGTTTCCTGCACCTAAAAATTCATTTACTGCACTTTTTAATATCTTTTAGATGAGTAAAAAAAAAATGTAAATTTACATACTGAATTAGTCTAAAAAGAAATTGTTTCAGTAAACATGGTTTCTATGGTAAACGTTGCCAAACACAAGCAAGCTAGTAAATGTGAGCGGCGAGGTGTAAGAAAGAAAGAAGGCAAGAGGATAAATACTTCATATTTGAATTTTGGTATTGTTACCAACAAAACATGGTGAACCCAATTCTCAAAACAGACCCTTCCACCATTTACAACCTTCTCAAATCGTACGCACTTTCCCCCTCAACCATCCTCAAAGCCCACCACCTTTTCCAACAAATCCCCCGACCAACGTTGTCTTTTTGGAACCTCATAATCCGTGGCTGGTCCCTCAGTGACCAACCCATCGAAGCAATTCGCTTGTACAATCTCATGTATCGCCAGGGCCTGTTGGGTAACAACCTTACATACCCCTTTCTCTTCAAGGCCTGTGCTCGAGTTCCTCACGATTCTTGCGGTACAACACTTCATGCCCGCGTTTTGAAACTTGGGTTTGAACCCCTTCTCTTTGTTTCCAATGCCTTGATTCATATGTATGGCTCTTTTGGTCATTTCGGTCTTGCTCGGAAGGTGTTTGATGAAATGGATGAAAGGGACTTGGTTTCTTGGAATTCGTTGATTTGTGGGTATGGTCAGTGCAGGAAGTTTAGGGAGGTGTTGGGTGTTTTCGAAGCAATGAGGGCGGCTGACGTGAAGGGTGATGCTGTGACGATGGTGAAGGTTGTTCTTGCATGCTCTGTTTTGGGTGAGTGGGGTCTTGCTGATGCCATGGTTGACTACATTGAGGAAAATAAAGTGGAAATGGATGTTTACTTGGGGAATACCCTTATTGATATGTATGGACGGCGCGGTTTGGTGAACCTGGCACGTGGAGTTTTTGATCGAATGGAACGGAGAAATTTAGTTTCATCTAATGCCATGATTATGGGTTATGGGAAAGTAGGAAACTTGGTTGCTGCTCGGGAGTTGTTTGATTCTATGCCGCAGAGAGATGTCATCTCATGGACTTCTATGATCACGGGTTATTCTCAAGCTAGCCAGTTTACAGAGGCAGTGAGGCTTTTCAAGGAAATGATGGAAGCTAAGGTGAAACCGGATGAAATAACCGTTGCCAGTGTGCTTTCTGCATGTGCTCATATTGGTTCGCTTGATGTTGGGGAGGCTGTTCATGACTATATACGGAAATATGATGTGAAAGCTGATGTCTACGTTGGAAATGCTTTGATAGATATGTATTGCAAATGTGGTGTAGTTGACAAAGCATTGGAGGTGTTTAAAGAAATAAGGAAGAAAGACACAGTGTCATGGACTTCGATCATTTCAGGTCTTGCAGTTAATGGCTTTGCAGATTCAGCACTTGATTATTTTTCGCAGATGTTGAGGGAAGGTGTTTGGCCATCTCATGGTGCTTTTGTTGGAATATTGCTAGCCTGTGCTCATGCTGGATTGGTTGATAAAGGATTGGAATATTTTGAAAGTATGGAGAAGGTTTATGGACTGAAACCAGAAATGAAACATTATGGATGTGTTGTGGATCTTTTGAGTCGCTCTGGAAATTTACAAAGGGCATATGAATTCATAAAAGAGATGCCTGTGACTCCAGATGTGGTAGTCTGGAGGATATTGCTGAGCGCTTCTCAGGTTCATGGAAATGTACACTTGGCTGAGATTGCCACAAAGAAGCTTCTTGAACGGGATCCTTCTAATAGTGGTAACTATGTACTTTCCTCTAATACTTATGCGGGCACTAATAGATGGGAAGATGTTGTTAAAATGAGAGGACTGATGGAGAAGAGTAATGTACAGAAACCATCAGGTAGCAGTTCCATAGAAATAAATGGTTCAAACAGTTCTCAAGATTCTTTCATGAAACATCAACAGAAGAGTGAATTAACTGTTGTCTAGAAGATTCATTTTTACTTCATAACTTGATTTCATTTGTGGGACAGAATGTGCAATGGACAGGATAAACCAATTGTCTGTAAATTTTGGACCTGACCCTGATGGCCTGATCTGCTTCAATTTGTCAAGCAAGTGACTTGATTCTAATTCTTATCTGTTGCCATGGAGCACTATTTTGATGACGAACTAGTACAGTTGCTTGTTACGGATTACACATGGAATCGCTAATTGGGCATAGGATTTTTTGTCCTGCCGCGTGTTTCCTGTAGTCCAGTGGCTAGAGACTAATTCTGCTTACGGTACTGTAATTAGTATTGATCCGACGAGTTCCTGGAGACAGTGAGAATTAATTGGACATGGGTTTGATGATGCCTAATTTGTTAATGCACCTTTAATTCTTGCGATGTGCTCGTTTTGGATTTGTGGCTAGACTAAGTTGCAAACCATGGCCCACTAAAATCGATAGGGGCTTCTACAAACTCATCTATACAACTATCTTCATAACTCTGCAATGCTGCAGCAAAAAGGTGACTAGTTAGCTCCCAGTGATAGCCATATAGCATATACTAAGATGATTATTTTACACTGTAAATTGTCAAATGCTAGAGACAAAGGTTGTTTAAGATTCTTTTTTCTATAACGGTTCTTTTTGATCCATTTGTTTATCGAAAGGATAGATACCAAGTTATTGTATTTATGCAATCAATTGATTTCACCAGCTCATATTTTATTGTTACATGGTTCACTTTTAATTTTATTTTTCTTCTTTTTTGTTATATATCTCTGAATATTTTTTCTTCTGTTGATTCCTTTTTTATAATTATTACGCAACTCACTATAAAATTTCTACGAGGCAATGGAATATGCACATCCTTTATTCAAAATGCAGAACAGAGGTCTGTTCATGCTATCAAATGAAGTACTTGAACCGGAAAGGAAGTATGAGATTCACCTTAAACTTCTATTTACTCTTTTTTTCTTGATCTCATGGTTTGGAATTTACTAGTAAAATGTAGGATAACCTAGTAAAATTTGTGGTATTGATTAATTATTCGTTTTAATTTTAATTATTATTTCTAGTTCCTAAAATTTGGAATAAATCATATTTTATTCAATTTTAAAAAAATAATTTTTATAATTTAAAAATTAATAATATGCGTCAACTCAAGAAGAATACGTAAGTAATTGTCACACGAATTTGAATATAACATGTTAGAGTCATTATATTTCTTTTTGTCACTCAAATTTAGATTTTTTTTTCCTTCTGAAATTTCAAATATTTTGTTAAAGTTTTTTTTTTAATTTGTCAAATTTAAAATAATTTCCTCACTCCCCAATTTAAAAGTTATGTTTTAATATCTTAATCTAAAAAAAAAAAAAACTTAATTTAAATCTTAGATTCGATATGTTAAAAATAATATAATTAATACTAAGTATTTTAGTAGTTAAAATATTTATCACGGTTTTTAACTTTTAAATTTTTTTATTAAAATAAGTTTAACAACAAATTTAAATCGTCAAAATCTAGAAGAACACAAATAAAATAAAATCTATAACTTACTATCTCTTTCAATGTCTTTTTTAATTTCTCAAATTTTTAAATCTCATTTTTTTCTTGTGTACCTAAGCATCATTATCTCTATCTATTACATCAATAGCTTTTTAGTGAAGTTAAAAATTAGAAAAAATAAAACTCATGTTTATATATTTTAAAAAATAAACTAACACGAAAGATTTTATCAAAATTATTTTTTAACATATTTCATAATTAAAATAAATTATAAAAAATAATTATTAATCTAATCTTAAAAATTCCAATTATAATATATCATATTTAAAAGTTGATAAAAAGAAAATCCTTGCTATAATTAAAAATCTAAGAAAAATACTTGAGGAATTAAAGTAATCTTTCTCAAACTACACCTTTGAAGTCAACAATCAAATTATTTTCATTGCCTTTATCCTTCCCCATTTCAACAAACTCAATTTTACACAATTTAAAAAGTGGATTTAGCTACCAACAAATGAAGCATTCAACTAACTTTCTTCTTCAGTATTTTCTTACCATGAAGAGTTACTCACTTACCTCAAAAGTTTTGATTTCTTCATCCACAAGCTAAAAGCCATAAACTTTAACACACCACCAAGAAAACAAAACATTTAAGTGTGTGTACGAATTGAAACCACCCAAATCACCCGCTTTCTCATGAAATCACAAACTCTTCGTGACTCATTTTATTGATTTGTCCTCTCTTCCAAAATAAAAACAATGAAAAAAAAAAGAAAATGCAAACCAAGTCCAAGTCTACAACCACTTGCACACGTGTGCGAATACAAATGACCTCGAGAATATCCCTTTCGAATACTCAATGGCCAATTTTGTTGCCATCTGACAAAAATATGAAAATGGCCAATCACCTTCAAAACCCCAAGGCACATAACAATAACAAATACAATAACACAACAACCTGTCATAAGAGAAAAAGAAAAAGAAGAACCTCAAGCGCACATTTTTCTCCGTAGAGGTTTCCCATTTTTCACCAAGTGAGTGTAGTTGAAGTAGGCGTTCGAAAAAAGATAAATAATTTAAATTAAATTAAATTAAATTAAAATAAATTAAATTAAATTAAATTAAATTAAATCAAAATCTAAAAAATGTTGTCATAAATTTCGACGATTCGGACAACGCAAGTAAACCTTTCGAACTTTGAATACAACGCCGATTCGTTCAACGTTTTCTCGTCATTCTCCGTTCTTCCTCATCAGTCTTCACACTCTTCTTTCCGCTTTCAAACCAAACCTATCATTCGATGCACAGGTACGTGCTTACTCACTCACTCTCACTCACTCTTCCGTCGTTTCTGTGAATCTGTTTCAATATCGTTGTATTGAAGAACATAATAAGTATTTTGCATCTGATTATTATGGAAATCGCGTTGGATTAGGTGGTTTTTGTACTTTTTGGTTTGGATAATTTTGGCGTACTGTATTCCATGAATTGCTGATTGGTTTCAAGGGAATGTGTTGAACAGTTTTGTTGACTGTGGATGCTGAATACGGATGCGGCTTTGGTTTCAATCTCGTTGTATTGAGTTATTTGATTTAGGTGAATGTGGAGTGTGTGTCGTATTCGGTGTTTCTGATTTTATTTATTTATTTATTTTTGTTTCAGGTTTTTGGCGAATTGCTGATCGTAAAATGCGTTGAACAAGCACGTGTTGTCTCTCTTTTGTGATTGTCGAGGAGTGTGAACATGGATATGGCTTATAGTTTGCCGCAGTCTAGAATGTTGCACGGAGATGTGGGGACGAGTTACAGACGCGGATCAGTTGGGCAGTTAGGTTGCTTTGATTTTAGAGGGAGAGGTATTGGTTGTGGTGTTTTTGGCAACTCGAGAAGTGTTTCAAAATTTCGTGTTAGTGGGATGAGGGTTTCTGCTTGTTGGAGTAATTCGAGAGTGGTTACTGGTAGGGAGTTGAAAGTTTTGAATATTAAGAGAAGTTTGTCTTGCAAGAATAGTAATCTTATTATGGGGTCTAGAGCGATTTGGTCGAAGTGCCAGGGTAATGATTCGTTAGCTTATGTAAATGGCAACAGCCGGAATGTTGATTGTGTGGAAGGTTCAGGTGAGGATGCGGGATTGGGACCTGTTTCTAGTGCTGAACTGGATGCACCTTTGGAAGAAGAAGAGGTGCAAGCCGGGAGGAAAGAGGAAGGGGGTGAAATAGGACTGGAGGAACACAGTGTGGATGAATTGAAAGAACTTTTGCAAAAGGCCTTGAAGGAGCTAGAAGTAGCTCAAATAAATAGTACCATGTTTGAGGAAAAGGTTAAAAAAATATCAGAGACTGCCATTTTTTTGCATGATGCAGCTGTGATTTCATGGAATGATGTTAATGCTGCCCTTGATACCATCCAAGAAATAGCTAATGAAGAACTTATGGCCAAAGAAGCTGTCCAGAATGCAACAATGGCCCTTTCATTGGCTGAGGCAAGGCTTCAAGTAGCCATAGAATCTCTGGGGCCTGCAAAAGAAGTTCCTGATTCGTCACAAGGTTTTAATGAGAGCAATGGCGATAAGAACACAGAGGAAGTGGAGAAAGCCATTTTGTTTGCTCAAGAAGATATCAAGGAATGCCAGGCTAATTTAGCCAATTGTGAGGCAGAGCTGAGGCGCTTGCAAAATAGGAAGGAAGAGTTGCAGAAGGAAGTCAGCAAATTGCAAGAAATTGCTGAAACAGCTCAGCTGAATGCTGTGAAAGCTGAAGAGGATGTCACGAACATAATGCTGTTGGCAGAGCAAGCTGTTGCCTTTGAACTTGAGGCAACAAAACGTGTGAATGATGCAGAGATTGCCTTACAGCGAGCAGAGAAGTCTAATTCTAATTCAAATGCTGATACCATAGAAACAACACAAGCACAGGATGGTGTGGCTATTCTTGAGGAGGAGAAATCGATTCACTGTTTTTCTTCTGATGGCACAGTTGAAAGAGACAAAGATTTGGCAATTGATGATGAATCTTTGGTTGCCAAGTTATCACCTGAAACACTGTCTGATAAAGCCAGCCAAATTTTGGAAGACAAAACACAGTCTGATTATTTAAGTGATAATGAGAATGCTGTGCAAACGAAAAAGCAGGAAACACAGAAAGATTTGGCCAGAGATAGTTCACCTTTCGCTCCCAAGGCATTATTGAAAAAGTCTTCTAGATTCTTTTCTGCATCATTCTTCTCTTTCACTGAAGATGGGACTGAGTTCACGCCAGCATCAGTCTTCCAGGGCCTTATATTATCTGTACAGAAGCAGTTGCCGAAGCTGATATTTGGGTTATTGTTAATGGGAGCAGGGTGTGTATGATCTTGCCACATCTTTTTCATTTATTACTGTCCTTTCATTTCAATCCTTCTAAAAACAATTTATGTGGAAGAACAAACACATAATGTGATTGATATATAATATGTATGGTATATGAGTAAATCGTACAAAATACTAATATGACATTTTTTAGCTGTCTGGGCAACATGATTAAGAATATCCAGGCACATGTTTTACTAGCTTGTTTGATTTTTTTTATTTTCATTTTTTTAAGTTAAATTGCTTTTGTTTGGAATCTGACAGGGATATATCATATAAAGATTTACATGAAAAAGCTTTAATATAAAGATTTTACATAGTATTCAATAAATGGTGAATTTTTATTTCAGGGTTACCTTCTTTGCTAATAGAGTGGAGAGAAATGCTCAGCTGCTTCCACAGGCAGATGTTATCATGACCAGTGTTGAAGAAGTTTCCTCTAGTGCAAGGCCTCTGGTTAGACACCTTCAGAAACTCCCGAAGAAAATCAAGAAAATCATTGCATCATTACCTCAACAAGAGGTTTGTTTTTCTTCATTCTTCCCCCTTTAATCTTGTGCTTAATTATATAAATTTTATCTGACTTTATAGTATATGTCTATCCCAGGTGAATGAGGAAGAAGCCTCCCTCTTTGATATGCTCTGGCTATTACTTGCAAGTGTTATATTTGTGCCAATATTTCAGAAAATCCCTGGAGGTAACTCGTTTGTTATTTTTAGTTAGAATGTGATTAGGCACCAAAATCCACATATTTGGTTAAACCAAACCTTGAGGCCATAGATTATATCCACTCTTTTTAGCTCATGGTTTATTTTTTAGTATGGTTATGACTTGAGGTTGTGATTTCTGGTCAAGGATGAACTGGGTTTTGCATGTACCTATATATTCTACAAATATATGATGACATTATATTTAAAAACAGTTGAAAAAAATATAATGAATATAACACCTCTTAAGCTTTATAGATATAATATTATATAATTAGTAATCAAGCCTAGAAAAAAAAAACATTTTCTATAATTAACCATGCTTATGATACTTAATGGAAACAGCATTTGTTAAAAATTATCCTCATTAAAATGAAAAATCATGTCCAGATTGCATGGTTTGATCTGTTGTTCACCAGTTCAAACACTGGGTTTCAAACGAAGTTTTTTTAAGTTGATTGGACCAACTGGTGGGCTGGTTCATGATTAAACTGACCCAAGTATGGTTCTGAAAATTATGGTTATGGCAATATTGTGACTAGTCTCCTAAATATAAACATTATGCTTTTGTCTTACATATTCACATATTTTTGTGCCAACACCATACTCTCTATCTTGCTTGCAACATTGTTTAGGCAGTCCTGTTCTTGGCTACTTGGCCGCTGGTATCTTGATTGGGCCATATGGTCTCTCTATCATTCGTCATGTTCATGGGACAAAAGCAGTAGCTGAATTTGGAGTTGTTTTCCTTCTATTCAATATTGGCCTGGAGGTGGGGATGCCTGTTAGTTCTTAATCAGTTTTCATTTACTTTGACCATAACCATTATCAGAAGAGCTAAATTAATGCTCTTATTTGCTTTGTTGTTCTAGCTCTCTGTTGAAAGGCTTAGTTCAATGAAGAAATATGTCTTTGGATTAGGCTCTGCACAGGTGATTGGAAAACTCCATCTCCCACCTTTGTTATTATTCTGTTAACTGACAATCCTTAGCATGTATGAACAAATGCAGGTTTTGGCAACTGCTGTAGCTATTGGCTTGGTGGTTCATTTTATTTGTGGCCAACCTGGTCCTGCTGCTATTGTCGTTGGTAATGGCCTTGCATTATCATCTACTGCTGTTGTTCTACAGGTAAATAACCTAAGATTGCATATTTTAGTAATATCTACCTTTTTTGACAATCATTAACTGTAAATATTGGGTAGGTGATTGCTAAAGTTATGTTGTACCTTGTATCTGTTAATAAATGTTTTAATGATTATTTCTGCTTAATAAAACCTAATGGCTTGTATCAAATACTCCTTATTCAAGGTTCTTGTGTTAGTAACACATTATACACACATTCAAGGCTATACTGTCATGGAATGGAAAAAATGCAGTGTGCATTCTATCTACTTTTTTTATTTTATTTTTTATGAGTCTATCATGCTGTGATAATTTCAATGAACTTGTTTTTCAGGTGTTGCAGGAGAGAGGTGAGAGCACATCACGGCATGGTCGAGCTACTTTTTCTGTGTTACTTTTTCAGGTTATTTTGTACCTGACCCATATGTTTAGATGCCGAAATAATTTTCTTGTCAAATTTTGTCCTAGATTTTAAGGAGAATATAATTCTTGTGACATATGGCTGAACTTTGTCATATGATTGTTCTATGTATCTATCTTCCTGTTGGATGTGCATATTATCTTTGCACTTTTCTCAGTCTAGAAGTTTATGTACACATTAATTGCCGTACTAATACCATGTTTTGGGAGACACTAAACAAGCATGTTCCTAACAAGCAAGGATTAAACTGTAAAACTATCTTCCACAGTTGGATGTTGGGGCAGATGGCTGTACGAATTATTTGTTCCTTGAGCACTTTTATATGTTTGTTTTTCTGTGGAGATTCTCAACAAGCATTCTCTACTTTATCTGCCACATCTGGTCAATTGTTATATGAACTTACCCTTTTTGTCATTGATTATTTGTTGCTCTTAAATGCCTTTCATTTCTTATTGTATTTGGGTTGCAATATTTTGACACATTGACTTTTACTGTTTGTTTCTATTCAGGATCTGGCAGTCGTGGTGTTGCTAATACTCATACCTCTTATTTCTCCTAATTCTTCCAAAGGAGGGGTAATGTTTTTCTAAGCTTCTGGTCACTAGGTTTAGCTGTTTAGAACATGATTAAGTTGTGTAGAGTCATGTGAAGTCTGAGAGACAGTAAATGACATGAAACATTTAAATTTAACATGCTGAAAGAAGTAAAAACATGAAACAACAGTGCATGCAAAAATTTCAGCATTATGTTTTTAGTATAACCACATTAGTTCTTTTTTGAATTATTTCCCTTCCACTTGCCTGGAACAGAATGTGTGAATTAATTATTATTTAAAGATCTAGCAATTAATTCCATATTTTATTTTATTTATAGTAAATTGAAAAGGTCAAGACCCAAATATATTTCTATTTAAAGTTGGTTCATGTAACTGGTAAGCGCATAATTGGTAGTATTGAGGTGAGAGCGTGACCTTCTGAGGTTTGTTATTTTTTTCTTCATGTTTACTCTGTATTTCTCTGCCTTTGTGTTCTGTACCCCTAACTGTAAATATCAATCTGTATATTCAGGTTGGTTTCCAAGCTATTGCTGAAGCACTTGG